TTTGTACAGGATTCATATAGACGTTAACGCACCGACGCCTTCCTCCGGTGTCATGTGAGGTGGCGTTATTTGTGACGCAATATCGGCGCATTACTCAGTCAGCGGTTCCATCTGATATATGTCAGGCCCGAAGGGAACGTACCTGCGTAAGCAAAGAAAGGATGAGCAAATACTTATAGTGAATGTGAGACTGAACTTTTAACGACATCGCATTTTCAGTGCAAATTAACCGGAAGAAAATCGTAAGTTACACCCATAAGCCATTTACCGCTCTCTCGTGTCGCTCACTCTAGCTGGGTAGAAAATGCTCAGCCGTGTTTTTGCAGTATGATACTGGTGAATCGTTGCCCGTAATTCAGGAAATAGATGAGATGCTCAACTTCGATTGTGCGGCAGTACTAATTCAAAAACATTAGCATATTTTTAAATTTTTGAAGTTCTCGAAAGTTTCTATGTTGTTTTCTAAAATTACCTGAGGTGAAGATTTGCAATGTCTTACTTCTAAAACTTTAGGCATCGCGCTTATCGCAACTGCCTTGGCTGGCGATGCTATGATTGGAAACGTCCAAGAAAAGTGGATGAAAAAGTTTGACGCTAATAACAACGAAGTAGTAAGTACGTGTTAAATTTACGGTTGGTGAATAACGAACCGCTAGGGTGGGAGGAAAAAGGAGTTTGTAGCTGCTCGCTGACATTGTGGGCACTATTTATAGTACTTTCTCATCACAAGGCTTGTAGTCCGGCGCCGACGCTGATCTCTGTTTTTGTGCCATAACCCAGATTTATCTTAAGGACACTTTGCATAGCTTAACGTGGCAAGTATGGCATTTAGCCTCCTGTTAATTTTTCACAAAGTGATACTCGTCTGTGAATCCCATAAGAATGGAAGGTATATAAATCAACAGGGGATTGAACTGACGTGCTGCCGACCGAATCAACCCTATCAGCGAGAGAACTGGTGCCTTCAATTCTTTGTATAAATCACAGAATATAAACGTTTTCGGTATCCGTATCGTTACTTTACCAAGAATTTCATCTGAGGTAGATAACCGTGAATATACTGGTAACCATAAAATCCGCTCACTGCTCTGAAACCCACAGAATGCTGTTAACAGCTGGCATTCGTAAACAAATGAACAAAGATAGCCTAAGGGATTTACTGGTTTCCTTTTTTAAATGGCCAGTAGAGGGGTCCGTTAGATTAAAACTTTACTTCTTGGATAGCATGACTGATGAATGCCATTAGTTTGCACACAAGAAGAATCATATGGCAGAATGTAAGCAACGAATGTTATAGTTTCAGTCAGCAGCAAAAGCAATAAAATACGGAATCGGTAACCGAATAGCTAGTGGTAGCTTGATGGAAACTGTGCTACACTGAGCACGATCAAATAACACTGCATCCTGAAGATCTTTGAGAATGTCTACTGAGGATGAATGAATGATCTCCAAATCAACTTACAGCTTCGTCCTCAAAAATATTGCTGCCCACACGAGCCTTTTTCACGGTCTCAAGCAGCGGCATCGAAACTACTACTTTAAAATCGACTTACAGTATCGAATTCAAATTGGATACGAAATGCAAACATGCGGAACGTCGAAAACGTCTACCCGTTTGGGTTGACTGTTATATTTCGCTGACCTCTTCAGCATTGAGACCAACTTCCAAATTTATTTAACTGTGTTAACTGTGTTAGACTTGAGTAGCAGGACTTTGGGGGACTGTCCATCGTAGGTTCTATATAATGCCATATAAAATTTGTTCGTTATGCCGTCTACCCCTTGAACAAATGATGGCCCACTTCAGCTGGACCTCACGAAGAGCCCAGACGCTATTGGATACGTGGCTTTGAGAAAAAGAGGACACATTTTTCATCCTATACGTAAAACTGAAAAAAATGCGGCACAAAATGCCGCATGCCCAAAATTTTACTCTCTCGTTACCCCTTTGGGCAGAATAATATTTTTATTGTAGTTATTAACTGTTGTACAAGTAAATAAAGGTTATTCAGAGATTTCGTGGTCAAGAGATGTAATGATTAATTTTAGATGCTGTATTCATATTCGCTTGGAGCTGTTTTTCTGTTTGCTCTCACGGTCTGTACTGGCGAATTTTCGGCTGGCATGAATTACTCATACACGGTAGGTGTTCCATTTTTTGTAACAACCACTGATTTCATTTTGCGAACTTATTTTAGAACCCATATATTATTAGATTTTATCTCATCTTCTCACTCTGTTCTTACTTTGGAGTAAACGTAATATTGGGGTTGGTGAAATCATTCGACGCGCTTCTGGCCATCACCGTAACGAGTTGTCGCAAAGCCGCAACTATCGTCC